ATCTATCTCAAGTCAAAGTCAAGTCTTTTATCAATGTTAGTCAAGCAAGTCTCAAGTCAAAAAATATGCGACTCGAGTCAAGTCATGTGACTCGAGTCCCCACCTCTGGCAGCGGCACACAGAGATCTGCCGGGGACGGAGCATTCAGAAGTATAGAGACACTCTACAAGGCTCGATGTGGACAAAGCTCGTTTGCCATTAGTGTTATCGCGTTGACACGAGTTGCTCGCGTCCCCACGTCCCCAGCTCGCTTAGGGTAAAAGGGAAGCAACACGAAACCAGGTGTTCTTGGTAAGAGGTTGATTTTAATAATAAACTCAAAATAAAGATGATATAACAAAAAATACAGGCTCTTAAAACCCGCTATCTGTTCAAAATATTGCAACACAAAACGAAGGCCACAGATTATCACAGTCATGGGCACTTAAGTCTAAAATAGTGAGGCGCCTCGCACAAGTTCGACGCCGTTACAAATCACAGAATACACACACAACACACATCCTAACTAACCACTATAACAGAACTAGCACAAAGCTACACAGAACATAAGGAGAGCACCGAGATACGTCTGACACAGATTCAGACCTCTCCCGTCTAACTGAGATGCACACACTCTTGTAAGAGTCCCCGGAAGGTGTGGGCAGGGATTGGTGAGTCGGGCCCGACCTGCTCCAATCCAGATCTTCGGTCACGCCTACCGGAGGAGGGACAGGAAACTGGCATCCAATGGCGTCCGGGCAACGGCGCATCTCATATACATATAACATACACAGCTGAAAACAATCCTAGACAGGTTAACGAGCAGACAGCAGCAGCAGCCGTGACAAGTAGTCTGTCCAAACAGCCGGCCAAAAGGCGTCATATTCAGTCGGAGAAATGCACAATTTTCCACTTCCTTAACTCGTAGCTCTGTTGCCCCAATTACGAGTAACGTTATCACATCAGGTGTGCAGAGGTGGGAGAAGTACCCAGATCTTGTAGTTAGTTGAGTTCCTCAAGTAAAAGTATGATCATCAAAATATACTTAAAGTAGCGACAGTAAAAGTAGTCGTTGTGCAGATTGGTCCATTTCAGAATAATATCTATGATATGTTTTATAATTATTGATCATTAAAGTGTTCTCAAAGCTGGTAAAGGTGCAGCTAGTTTGAAGGACTTTGTATACTGCAGGGGTAGCTTGTGTATGTACTCCAGGTGAAACTAAAGTCTGATTTAACACTTTCACATCATTCATCCACATCTGTAAAGTAACTAAAGGTATTAAATACATGTAGTGGAGTAAAAGTACACCATGTACCTATTAACTGTAGTGGAGTAAAAGTACACCATGTACCTATTAACTGTAGTGGAGTAAAAGTACACCATGTACCTATTAACTGTAGTGGAGTAGAAGTACACAGTAGCAAAACATTTAAATACTCTAGTAAAGTACCTCAACATTTTACTCAAGTACAGTACAATATTTTAACATAATTATATATATTTAATTTATTTCACATTTAAATAAAACAATTAATTTGGGTTAACAATTTGTTAGTTTTTCCCTTTAAAAAATTACAAAAAGTAAATACAAGAATACCGTTAAAGTACCGGATCGATAAGCAGTATCGATAAGACTAGTAGTACCGTAGAAAACCTTAACGATACCCATCCCTAGATATTACACAAGTAAAGTGTTAAGAGAGTGAAATGTTGCTTTACGAATTTCAACACTTGATGCTGTCAACTTGATTCCAATGTCAGAAACCTGTATTTGCCTAACTGAATTAGTTTAAAGAGAGAAAACATTTTGACTAAAAGTTGACTAAAATGTAATTTTTCATCGACTAAAAGTTGACTAAAACGTTTTGAGTTTTCGTCGACTAAAACTAGACCAAAACGTTTTGAGTTTTCGTCGACTAAAACTAGACTAAAACTACGAAGGATAGGAATGACTCAAATGTGACTAAAACTAAACCATTTTCTAAGACTAAGACAAAATCAAAAACAGCTGCCAAAATTAACACTGCTCTGAGCAGGAGACGTGGGGAGAGGGAGGCGGGGCTATTTCATCATTATCAGAAAATGATCGTATAGAGGCGTACACACGGAGCCGTTTGACCCCCCAGAGCGTTCCGTTTGCAGATCTATCCACCTTGGGACCCGTTTCTATCGTTTTGTTATGGCCTCGTGAAAACGAAAGGGCTATACGCAAGAGAAACTATGCGGGAAGTGCTGGGAACTAAGTGCTGGCACTAAGTACGGCAAAGTACTTGATGGGAAAGCGGCTATTGTCTCTAAATATATGACCATGTATTCACTTTAGACGCAGAAGGCCCGTACGCAGGCTTGTTTTTTTAAGCACACATTATTTTAAATGGGCGAACATGCACCAAATGTTTTTAATCACGACATTCATTATTTTTGAACAAGTAGCTAAACAATTAGGTGTCCACTTCCTTAATATGTTAATTACTGTATTATTATTATTATTATTATTATTATTATTATTATTATTATTATTATTATTATTATTATGTCTTTTAGTGCATTTGTGCCTTGACTCATAATTTTGAGTAACCTTTTCCAGAAAGCTCTTAATTTTCTTTCTATGTTATTATTTTGCAAAACTACGTTAATACTTTTTACATACTTAGTCATTATTTTTACAATACTAAGTCGTTATGTTTGCAAACAAGCATCATTTTGACAAACTGTGTCATTGTTCTCTGTTATTATTTGTTTTAATTGTGATATTCAGTCATTTTTTAAGGAATCTTTGTCATTATTTTAAGATACCAGGTTATTTTTTGGCAATAAGTCATTATCTTTTGACACTACCATGTTATTTTTGCAACAATAGGTCATAATTTTGTCAAACCAAGTACATTTTTTTTTACAATACTAGTTTGTTATGTCATATTAGACCATTGCTTTGTGAAACAAAGTAATTGTTTTGTGATACTTAGTCATTATTTAGAGCGAAATTCTTACTATAATGATATACAGGATCTTTTTTGCTTTCCTGCACATCAGCAAAAAAAGGCTTCTATAGACCCTAGAGCTGTTTATTTTTAGTTCGACTTTTTGCAGAATTGGGTGTTAGAAAATCTGACAATGTATCTGCCAAATTCACATTTTTACATGAATACATTACATAAACCTCATACTAATATGTCTGCAATACATTAATACCTAACCTGTCTGACCACTGTTTAGCGCACCCTGTATGTATTGTTCTATAGTCTTTGATTTAGGTGCTTCATGTTTGAGCAACGACTTCTATTTTAATTTAACTTATTTTTGACATTTCCCTGAAGCCTTGCAAAGCTAAACGCTGGTGTTATTCACACTTCCATTTCCCCCCTACATCATTTACCATTCATCCTTCATCACTCAACTCTGACATTTTTAAATTAAATGTTATGCCTGGGGAGCTGAATTCCCTGGATGATGGCCCTCTTATTCAGGATACAGTCGGTTACAGTCCACCGCAGCTGGAGGTTGCAGTGTGTGTTGTTAAAACTGCCAATAATTGGCTGGAGAATTGGTGAGCCAGTGCCTAAGTGGATTATGCTTGTCACTAATGGCAGGGACTTGATTATGAGTTGAGAGAAAGTCTCAGGCACCATCACAGTCTGGTACAAAGTGAAAGGAGGTCTCATGGATATGGAAATTGAGTCTAATGGAAATCATATGGGCAAATCCGTTTTCTACAGAACATTAGGTACATTTCCATACACCAAGAACTATGATGTAGACTGCTTTTGGTCAATACGTATTACGTACAAGGCCTTTTCTGACGGGCAACTAATCCATTAATCCATCAATAGGGTCTTTATAGCCAACAGACCCCAGTGACACAATACCTGGCTGTAAACTGTTCATTTAAGGTGTTTTTTTCAGGTGTTAAAATATATTTAGCTGCTGCCCCATTCACAGCATGGATGTATAAAGAGAACTGGATACAGCATGTGGGTTTCCCCCTTCCTGTTCCATGTGGGAACCCGTTCATTCCGATGAAAGTTGATTAGTGCAGCAAAAAGCCAAAATGTTCTGACTCTAGAACTGAAATACCCAGACCTTCCAATATTCAAGCAATCCTCTGGCATTCTTCTGGCATTCTTCTGGCATTCCTTTATACATTGGGCTCATAGGGCATGTGCACTTGCATTTACCTTAAATTACAGAAATGCCAGTGTTGGATTAATGAAGGGAGAGGGACAAAACATTGGATTTAGCTATTAGCTCATTTTAAAACTTTTTGAAGAACCAATAATAAGGGCTAAATTAAGACTACTCTAATGTTCAGACTAATAGAATTAGATTTAGCTGTGAAAAAATAGTACAATCTGATTTACAGATGGCTTTTTCCCAATGTAAGTCAATTGGAAAAAGTATTTGTGGGCCCAATGGCATCACGTAACTACACAAAAGTTGAAATACCAATGTTTGGCCTCTATGAAAACTTGCTCCAACACCCAACGCACTTCCTGGACCCTATTCCAGGAAGTGCGTTGGGTGTTAACTTCCATGCTATTACTTATGTCAGTTTCTCTGCACTGACTACACAGCTACTATGGATTAAGTACAATCATACCACCCTACCATACCATCCTCCTGATATGTTCCCTTAAGGAGAACTGCTTAGACTTTAAGAAGACCTTTCCCCCTTGGGAACTGCACAGATGGCTAAATGTCACCGAAACAAACTGGATTGGCGCCCCACACTGACAGAGCATTAATCTTCCTTCTCTCAATCACTCTTCCTCTTCTCCTTTCAGTGCCCTCTTCCTCTCGCTTTACGCACACATGTAGCAATGCCCCACTCACTATCAATCCACTCTGATGTATCGCCCTTTATCTGGTTCAGCTTAGAGTTAAAGACCACTTAATTAAAGCACCAGGGCAAATTCTACAGCATGGGATTAACAGCAGCTATTCTAGTCATGATCGTGGTTGTATAATGTTGTGGCAGTCACTATAAATCTGTCCCACTGAACTCCGTGTGTGTTTTTCAGCATTGCAGATAGTTGGGAGGCCAACGCCATTGGACATGCTGTGGTGCTGCCGCTGAAGGTGTGTGAGGAGCTGCTGCAAGTGATAGAGGACAGCAACTCTATACTTCCTGCGTCGATGCGTCGCATGAGGTCCTATGAGGTGAGACGGTTACTATGTTACGGGCAACAGATGACTAACCCCTAGATTCCACCGGGTCTGTCTGCGGCGTGTTACGGCTGCGTGGCGGTTTTGGTCTGGCCTCTTCCGGCATCATACCCTACCGGGCGCGTTTCAGAAGCATTTCAGAAGCGGAGCGTCTTGCCTGCCGGCTCGCAGTTTTTGTTGATTTGGGCATATTTCATGGACAGGCTACTTTGTACAGACAAAGTTAATAATAGTTGTAATATCCCAGTTATAAACGACATGAATCAAAGATGTGCTGCTGTATTTTAGTGGTAAAAAAAAAAATGCATTCATCATCATAATTATTCTATATATATAATTTACACAGTGCCTGTAAACCGGAGGAGAACGCTGGCATTTCTCCTCCTACTTGAATGACTACGGAGGGATAGGGTCTGCAAAATTAGTTTGTGTGTGTGTATATATATATATGCTATATATGCTCTGAACGTTCCACTTCCTGCCCGACATTACCTTGCGGCTGCGTCGCGTCGAAAAATAGACTTCAATCCTATTTCGAGTGGAGCCCAGCGGCGGGACGCTTCTGAGCCGTAACACGGCGCGTCTGGTGGAATAGCACCCATTGACTAGAGTGGCCGCGATCCTTGCGGACGCCGCGGCGCGGCCGTAACGGACCCGGTGGAATCTAGGGGTCAGGCTTGTTAATCCCAGGCGTATTTTTTAATGTTGGCAAAAAATGCTCACCCTGATATCTTGTCTTGAGTCTTCCAATCTATTTCCTTCGTTTGTAAAACAGTCTGTCTTAAGACAGCGCTCACTTACTTCTTACTTACAGGACCGTGTTTATCCATTATTCAGTAGTGCTTGACTGCGTTGTTATCCCGCCCTAATTAATTTCATGATCTAGAGCTTTCAGTAAAAAGCCTCCCCTTAGGGATTATGTGGGTCAAATAGAAGGTTTTACTTTTATCAGCCGTATTCCAGCTTCTATGCACCTGCAATTGTGCTAAATGTGTAAATTTAGCTCGAGTTGCCATGGAAAAACCCTTTGACTAGAAAAGTGGGGGTTATATCTTTGCTGACAGCTCTATTCTCCGAACATAGTTACAGAGGTAATTAGCACCATTATATCCTCCACTTTATGCTCACTAAAGTTTAGGGAAGTCACTCCAACCACTTAAACAGGTTTAAAAAGTTTTCCATCTGCTTGAACATTACGAAGGCCGGACTTTTAAAACCTTTTAAAAGCATGTCTGTTCTTGCACATCACATGAAGCAGCTGCTGAAGCAGAAGAGAGCGATAAAAACCTTTCTTTCTACTTATCTAGATCAGTAAGTAACAAAACCTGCCTACTTATTTTGAATGCGTTTTTTCTTCTCTGCTCTTATTAAGGCTATAAGATAGGGGTTTGTAGTTCTTTAAGATTCTTACGGTTATTTCTTGCTGTAGTTAGTAACGTTCGCCAGGCTTCTAACATTAGCCATGTTGCTAACAGTAAATCATGTTAAGCATGTGAAAAGGGAAAATGTTTTCTAATTGTTCTAGTATAAGGAAATCCAGTCTCTGCTTATCACTTGAGAAAAAGTTGGATACAAGTGTAGTTCCATCTATATCTGCATATTCTACACGAACACTGTGTTCAAACTGAAAATAACTTATTTGAATGAAGCTTTGAACTATTTGGTACAGCCCTTAATTAATAAGAAGAGAATCTGTTGGTTTACTCCAACAACAAAGCAGACTCTCTTAACTCATTTGTATTTCGCTATCATGCTGGGATCATTCGTGTAGACAATATCAAAGCTGAAATTAGTCCGTATGTCACCTTAGAAGAAGAGGAGTTTGCAATGGGCTCCATTACACCAGATTGCCATCCTCGTGGATTCATCTTCTTATTACAGACACATGCATTTCCTAACATTCGGTCTATATGCTGTAAAATGTATTATCTCTTCGATTTACACACGGCATCTATTGCACGTCTGTCCGTCCTGGGAGAGGAATCCCTCCTCTGTTGCTCTCCCTGAGGTTTCTCCTATTTTTTCCCCTCAAACTGTGGGTTTTTCTCTGGAAGTTTTTCCTTATACGATGTGAGGGTCTAAGGACAGAGGGTCTAAGGATAGAGGGTCTAAGGATAGAGGGTGTCGTTTTTCTCATACTGATATTCTGAACAATCTGTGTTGTTGTATTTGCTGTAAAGTGTCTCTACTGTAGGCTATTTTTATTATATGTACAGCACTTTGGCTCAACCAAAAATCGTTTATAAATGTGCTATATAAATAAAACTTGATTTGATTTGATTAACCCATCTAAAGTAGACTTGTCTTTTTTGTTGTAAGGTATTGTGTGTCACACTTTTAAACGCTCACTATAGTTTTGCTCTCACACCATGAGCCCTGGGGATAACAAATTGTTCCTCTTCTTTGTCTTACACATTGTGGTGCAATGAAAAACAGTATTGTTGTTTTCCTAAGCAACAACATGACAGAGGTGGGCGTGGGATAAATTAGGCTTTGCTGAAATGGAGAAGGCTACAGAGCGACCCAGACACAGGACTGGTGGTGGAAGCTGTTACAGGGTGAACACACACAGTGTGATACATTGACACACTTGAACACTTCCTGATGGTAGAAGCTTGTGCTATGGGCGGTAGAGGGCAGGAAGATCACAGAGCCATCCAGAATTACCGGAGATGAAAAAATAAACTGTCGGAAAGGGAAGGCTACCACGGAGTGGGGTTGCAGCCTGGAAGCTCGGAGAGTTGGATCTGTTAGACACAATGTGAAGATGTGAGACAGAGGAACAGCGTGTGGGTGTCGTGAGCTAGGGTTTTCCTACTGGTGGCTTTGGAAGACTCAGGTGACCAAAAGCCTACTTGAGAAGGGCAATTGGCAGTAGCATTCACAATCACCTCTGTATCATTTCAAGAGCCAGGGTGGAGTATTAAAGGGGATGTATTAGGAGAATTATGATTTTCATAATTGTGTTTTTGTAATTGTGTAGTCAGGTGAAACTAAGAATTATTTGCTGTGTCTCAATTTGGGGACGTCCTTGTCCTTTAGTACACCGCCATAGGACACCGTGCACATGACTGCTGTGCCCTCAACAGAAGTGACTATCAATGCTGTCAGCTAGCTAGCAAGCTAGCAATGGCATTATACGCAGTAGAAAATCACGACACACTGCTCAATTACACAATAAAATCAACAGTGGGTTCTTTTCAGCCACAGTATAGTGGCAAATGTATTAAACCACGAAAACAACCCAAGTGTCTAACATTTTTCATTGGTATAGTCGGGGTTCGTACGGGTGCTGGAAATCCTTGAAAATGCTTGAAATTGTACGAGGTGTTTTCAAGGTTTGAAAAGTGCTTGAATTTTGGGAATGGTGCTTGAATTTGGGATAAAGTGCTTGAAATTGTAAATGCTTTACTTCACTTTTTAGATTAAAAGAAAATAAAGAAGTCGGAGCGCGCTTAATTGCTTCGCTTGTACATAAAACAGCCCTGCTCCGGCCTTCCCGCGCTATGCGCGTGACCTGCAAGTGTTTTTGTTACGTATGACCTGGGCATTCTGATGAGTGATAGATGACAGTATACCAGGAGGTTGCAGTTACAACGAGCATTGGCTAGCCGAGGACAAATACAAGCCATGGCTAAGACGAGGGTCAATCCCACGAGTAGCCTCCTGCAAAGTGTGCAAAAAATAACGATGGGAGAGTCTGCGCTGACGAGCCACATGAAAGGTACGCCGTAGTAGAGCATTTTAGTTTAAGCTAACGTTAGCAAGCTGAATAGCGAACTCGATGAGGGAGAATAATAATTGCAGGGAACAATCATTTCAGAGGAGCGTACCTACGTTAATATGTGCGTTACAGTCGCTATCCTGTGGTGTTCAGAGGATGAAGCACTCACTGTTGTAATTCAACCCAGTCTCACGGCATTTCGTGTTATAGTCACGAAATATAATCTATTGATTCAACACAGAGCGATTTTAAAAGCAATGTATTTCTACTGGTAGTCTGTTTCGTGCCTAAACCAAATGTGACTTGCTCTATCGAAATCAGTCACATTGACCGGAAGACACATTTTCGTTTGTATTACTGGTCTGGGGGAAGCTCGCGAGTGTGTGCGTGTGTGTATTTTTGCGTTTGTGTATTTTTGCGTTTGTGTATTTTTGCGTTTGTGTGTATTGTGTTTGTGTACCGGGGAAACACTCACAAGAAACACCGGCTATTGTTATGCTTGCTGTGACGTTAAATTACTCCGTTCTCCGCTTCAAAGTTGTATTTATCATCTGAATTTGCCGAAACAAGTTTAATATTCTCAAAGCCAATACTTTGTTTATTTGAAAACAGATGAAAACAAACTGTCCCGGATCCTGCCGTGTTATCTATGATTACTATACGCCTTTACTTCATAATTTCCGGAGGGAGGGGGAGTGGCGCTGCGGAAGAGCAGGGTGCGAATTGAGAGGTGCCTCTTCTTCCCTTTACAAGCTTTAAAAATGTATTTATCGTGAGATTTTGGCAATAACAGTTTCATATTCTGAAAGCCAAGACTTTGTTTATTTAAAATCAAACAAAACACCCGAACCCTGAAAAACTAGTTTTTTTTACACAAATCCACGTTTATTTTTTTTTATTTTTTCGATAGAGCTGGTTACAAATAATAACAAATTAGAAGGAAAAAAATATATACAGATTTCAGTATTCTGAGGCTCTGAGTCCCATTTCTTTTACCCACAGACGGCAAAAAAAGCCCGACATTATACGATTTAAAATAAAAACAATAATCGTGGCTTGATATTGAGTAAGAACATGTTTTTATGAACCACAAGACCTGACCGGACAAAAAGACGCAGGCACGAAACACATTACCAATATAAATACATTGCTTTAAAATCGTTCTGTGTGACACGAAAAAAAGGGGGAAATCGTGTTGGTGAACACGAATCAATAGATTACATTTATTTCGTGAAAATAAAGTAGCGACAGTAAAAGTAGTCATTGTGAA